TTGGACGCCCGCAGCCTCCCCGCATCTGTTCACGGAGGCGCCAGCGCAGAGGACTGGCCGCCGGGGAGGCGGTCGGTTACACGTCGCAGATGCCCCAACGAGCCAGTGTAGCCGCAGCAACGGAGGCTGCATGTCCCCAACTGTCGCGTAACCATGAGTTGTGGACAATGAAACAGGAGGTTCCTTCTCTGACGATAAAGGGAAGGGGGGGAAAAAAGTCCTGACAAGACATTTTTAAAATCATGACTCAATGAGGAAATGAATGTATTGCTTGTAGTAAATTTTGAACAGTGATCTTTATGGACGACCTCTCCTCCCCATCGCCCGCCCCTCAAGTCCTTCCATATTTAGAAAACTTCCCAGTTGTCTAAGATGAGGTTTTGGGCTAGAACAGTGTGGATTTGAAATTTATTTCAGAATTCAAATTTATTTCAAAGTTCAAACTTTGCACCCGGGAAGATTATTTGGCAAAATGAGGCAGATTGATTACATATTCCAGGTATGAAACCAAATCTGGCCCCGGCTCTACGGCCGTGATAAATGCATTACCGTGTATGTGTTCTACTGCCCTCTCGTGGGTGAGATGGAAAAATACCCAAGGGTAGTGTCTTTTTTGAGTCGGAGAAAGAATGTTTAATTTAGCAGTTTATATTCTTTTGATGACAAGGAGCCCAAGGTAAAAATAAAATCGAGTTCTCCAAGGGACTTACAAATACTCAGCTAACAGAACTTCAACGTCAGAAAGCAGGGAGAGGACTCTTACACTAGGGCAAGTACCAACACGCTGTTGGGATCACACCCATGCTTACGGCTACCTGTACAGAATGTGGAAACAGACAGGAATTTGCTGTTCATTTTCCCCCCGTTTGAAACGTCATTACTTTCTGAGATGTTTCGCACAGTGCCCTTTTTCACATTTGTTTCCACTGATCCTATAACGTCACGCTGTGAACTACTAGAGAGTAGGAATGAAATCTTATTCTTTATACCTTTGCTGTCTAGAATAGCACCTGATACTTGAGATAACTTGATCAGTAATTGTTTAGTGAATAATTTGAATGAGGTATCAGCCCAGCCACTAGATGGCAGCCCAGTTGTATGTGCATAAGTACAGTCTGGCTAATTGGAATTCCACCTCAGCCTGAGTAATAGGCAATTTCTAGGAAGTTACATTATATCTTATTGAGGTAAGTGAAGTCATTTAAAATACCACTACAAATGACTATAACCTTATTGTTAATTAAATCCTTAAAGCTAAGAATCCTTTTGTAAGGGAAATTCTCACTAAGTACAATAACTCGTAAGCACATATTTTCTATATTTACACCTGTTCTATTTTTGTCTAAGAAAGTCACTCTCCAGTTATATCCTGTCAAAAGGACTTTTCAGTGATCAAAGTGCCTCAAGCAAGTTTCATTTTACAAACCCAAAACCTACGTTCTTCCAATAACAAGTCATTGCTTGTGTTTTTCCCCTGCCTTAATACCTGTTTTGCCTGACAGTCATGGAAATTCTGGAATCAGACAAACCTAGGTCCCCACTGCTACTGCTCACTTGCGCAGGTTATTAACTTCACTGACTTCAATTTGCTCCACTTTCCCACTATGGAGATAATAATATCTACTTTCTAAAGTTGTGAAAAGAGTTCAATGAAATGATGTCAGTGGAACAATATCTAAAAGAGCCCTTGGCTTATACCAGGGGTTCAATAACTGGTAGCTATGATTATTTACGTGCTACAATGAAAATCTCACCCATATTATTGGTTTATTTATTTTAGTCTCCTGACTTAAGGCCTTCAGCAATTAAATTAAGTTCATAACACCAGGTTTCATAGCGGTAGGCCATGCGGATCTGGGCTACATTTGTCCTCCGGATGTCATTTCCCATAGGGCCTTCCTCTAGGTAGTTGCTGCCCAGGAACTTTGCTTTCTCCTGCAAGAGAAAAGTGAGCGGAATGGTGGTTGTCTCTTTTTACCCTGATATAGACAATAATTACATCCTGTGCAGAGATTCCCCATGGAAAGCACCCATCCAGTGCCTCAGTGTGCGTGGCCTGCTGAGACACAAGTGTATTTTGTTACTCTTGCCCAAAAGGCATGGCCAGAGAAATAGAATAATTCTTTCTAGTCCATGTCTATAGCAACTGCGTGTGGCTTGCGGGATTTTTTTCCACGTGCATGTCCAACTCATTTTTCAATATTCAAGTGACCAGATCTACACTCAGAAGGGCAGCCAGGCAAAGACAGGTCTACCTCGTGAGAAAGTCCGCATTGCAGAACACTGTTCCTCGCCGTTTCACACATGTCGCAGGTACTCAGCTTGAAGACTTGCGCGGCAATGGCATACTCTTCCATTAGGGGCTCCTTCGGTTGTGTTTTTAAATAAGGCAAAAAGAAAGGAAAGGAATGCATTAAAAGATCGGCATCTTGCACAGAAAGAATAGTGAAATAAATTGATTTAACTTTTAAGTTCTGGGTGGGAAACAACAGCGCACGAAATATGCTTGTATTGCTCACGATTCCATGTGTGTACCTTGGTGAAGTGGAATTGCATTGGGTCGTCTGTAGACAGTGAGATCATTAGCCCTTTCTGGAGGAAATCTAAAAAAGGATTTTTGGCATATTCTAGAAATAAACTGTTGTTACTTAATGGCGACATCGCGATGGGAATCTGGGCTAAGAAAAACAGGTACTGTAACACAGGAGTCTGAAAAGGAAAAGGAAAAAAAAAATTATTTAAGGATGTTGAAAAAGGGATACAAACGGGAAATGTTAAAACTTCACGGTCTGTCTCAAGTTCTAGCTTTCAACGAATGATCACCTGTTCTTTAACTCCCCCAGTGAGGAAGAGGAATCGTTTTTAATTGTAAATACTATTTAGAATAAAATGACTTGGGATCATCCATTTTCAGAAGCATTGAGTTAGATAGTCTGTCTCTGGCAAAAGACTTCACCTAGAAACATTTATTTTCTCTACAAGGAAGTTCTGACTCACGAGAGGCATTTTAGAACATGCTATAACAAGCGGTCTGGCAAACACTAGCTTCAGGTGAGCCAAGCTGCCTCTGAATTATCCTCTGTTGGAGTTCTAAAATGGAAGCCAGGCCATCTGCAGTAACCCATCTCTGCCACCAACTAGCTGGGTAACCTTGAGCAAGTTCCTCCACTACCCTGGGCCTCTGTAAAGTGAATGGCACTAAATAATCTCAAAAACTTTTTCTGTCCTATTTTAATTTGATGTCAATGCTGATAATGACTTGTAACTAGCTCCAATAAAAAGTTACTATTTTTAAAAAATTTTCTTTTTCAATAACAGTTTACATTCAATATTATTTTGTATTAGATTCAGATATATAGCACAGTAATTAGACGTTCACATACCTTACAAAGTATTCCTTCCAATATTTTCAGTACCTACCTGGAACCATACATAGTTATTACAATATTATTGACTATATTCTGTACTTTACATCCCCTTGACTGTTTTGTGACTGCCAATCTGTACTCCTCAATCCC